GAAGAAGAAGAAGAAGAAGAAGAAGAAGAAGAAGAAGAAGAAGAAGATATAGGATCAATCAGCAGTGGGCTTAGGAGCTGTTTTTGGCGTGCTTTGTTTTATTTGGGGAAGTTTGCTTATATCGGGGGGTCCAACTTGATTTCTTTGAGGGCCACATCAGGGTTGTGTTTGACCTCAGGGGCCTGTGGGGGGAGGCAAGGCCAGTTTGAAGCTACTCACCGAGGTTCTGTTTTCGGCTGCCACGCCCTGGCTTCTGTTTTCACTGGTGGAAGGATGCGCGCAGCCTTCCTGAACTCCATCTTCACTGGCAGAGGCACTGCGGTCCTTCACTGTTTCCAGAGTGGGCCCACAGGCCAGATCTAAGCACCTTGTGGGCCAAATCCAGCCCACGGGCCTTGAGTTTGACACCCCTGAGTTATCTGTTACAGATTACCAGAGTTGGAAGGTACCTTGTAGGTCATCTAGTCCAACCCCCCACCCAAGCTATGATCCTATGATCCTCATGTCCTCATTTAGTGACCAGAATTGGGCCCGACAACTTGGTTGTTAAGTGATGCTGTCACTAACTGACACTGGATGTCAGGTCTCCGGTATTCGACCCCCATTTAAATCCTTAGCCCCTCTAGCCAGATCTTTCAGAGCTTACAGAAGATTTATTAGGAGTGAACACGCCGGTGCTACCTGGGTGTAGCCGACTCTGAGACACACCACTCATTGTCACCCTTGACCCTGGTTCCCCCACCCTACCCCATCTCCTTGGATGTATCATGATTCATATTCTCCAATGAGACACATCCATGGCCCAGAGTCACCAATCATACTCTCCACTTAGAATTTTGCACGCCAGAAACTTCGGTCGTCTAAAAATCATTTATGAAGACATTTAAGGAACGCACTACTCCCCCCGCCCCTCCCTTTCTGCTAGCAGCTCTTAAAAAAGCTAGAGAAATATGAGTTGACACTGGACTGGGTTTACGATCTTAACTCCAGCGTCAGAAGGAAGCCAAGGGTGTTTAGTCTCGTTCTACTAAATTCTGCTGTGTAATCCTTTTCCTCTCGGCTCTCCACAGTACGCCATCCTCATGACGATGGTGCTGACGGTCTTCATCAAATACCTTCTGCATTCCATCGACCTCCAGAGTGAAAACCCCTGGGACAACAAGGCCGTCTTCATGCTCTATACAGAACTCTTCACGGGTAAATGGATCCGGGGGTGAAGTACAAAGACACCCCACCCCTTTCCCAAATCCGTCCCATCTATCCCAAGAAAGTAGGTATGCCGGCAGCTGAGGCATATGGGTTGTCCTTGACTTACAGCCATCTGTTTTAAGGACCGTTTCAGAGATTAAAAAGGGACTTCGAACCAGTTTTCACACTTCACGATCTTTGTCATCAAAATTCAGGTGCTTGGCAACTGGCACGTTGCATTGTCCCAGGTGTCATGTGATCCCCATTTGCAACCTTCCTCGCCGGCTTCTGAGAAGCAAAGTCAATAATTCATTTAATGACCATGTGATTCACTTAAATAACTGCCGAGCTGTGGCGAAAAGGTTGCAAAAGGAAGCCCAGCTCACTTTTAATTTTGACCCTAAGTCAAGGGCTACCTGTGTTCTACCTTGATTGTAAGGATGTCAGGTTCAAAGCGCGCTTTTGCGGGTGCAACCATTACCCTTTCTTAACTTGCCAACAAACCAGGGGGGGGTGGGGGCCGGGGGGAAGGATGAGATGCAATGTAGACATCAAGAAGACGAACCATGAGAGCCAAGGACGCTTCTGCAGGCGTTTGCCAAAACCAAAGACATTTTCTCATAACAATAAAATGAGAGTCAATTGGACCGCGTAATCTGCACTAATAGGGGGAGGAGCGAGAATCCTATACTTTAATTAGCGTATTTTTCAGAGTAAAGTGGGTGGAAATGCCTGTGTGTCTTATACAGTGAATATTGCCGAAACCCCGCCCTCCTGCCAGCCCCTATACTTTGGCCTCTGCTTCCCAGCAATTTTGCCTCCTTGCAGCAAACCTGGTCAGCTTCAGCACAGCCTGATTAGCACAAGCAGCTGATTGTCAGATCAGCCGGCCTCCCGTCGATCAGCTGTTTCAGGCTGCAGGGATCACCCTTGCCTATTGCCTCTGCGTACCGCATTTTCCGCCTCCACGCTCCCTGGTTTCTGCCAGTTCTGATCCGCGCTGCTCGGAACGGGTCGAAAATGGGGCGGGCAGAGGCCGAAAACAGGATGCAGAGGCTGAAAACGGGGTAGCAATAGGTGATAGCAATTCCTGCAGCCTGAAACAGCTGATCGTCCGGAAGCCGGTTGAACCGACAGTCAGCTGCTTGTGGTAATCAGACTGTGCTGAAGCGGACCTTGCTGTTCGTTGCAAGGAAGCAAATTGCTTGGGGGTAGAGGCAGGTTTTCTTTCTCCTTGTTTTGCTCCCCAAAATCTGGGCGAGTCTTATACTCCGAGAAATACGGTATGTGGGTTTGCGTGGGAATTAGCCCGATCTGGTTTTGCCCTCCTCGGTGCTGAAATGGATGCCCTGAGTAAAGTTTTGCATTCAGATATTGTTCTCGACCGTGCTTGCTTCAGTCGGGTTCGCCCGTCAGAACGTCGACCAAGGGGTCCTTTTGGGCCGTGACCTGGAAGTACAAAATAATAATAATGATGAATTAATATCCTTTTTCCTCCCAAGGTTTCATCAAGGTCCTTCTGTACATGGCCTTCATGACCATTATGATCAAAGTGCACACCTTCCCTCTTTTCGCCATCCGGCCTATGTACCTGGCAATGAGGTGAGTCCCAGCCCAGGAGAATCGGGAGGAGGCAGAGCTGCAGTTCTGCCCCTTTCCGCAGCTGAAGAGTCTTTCAAGCCCCCCCCCTCCTCCCTCCCCCGACATTGCCTGCCTGCCTGTTCACCCCCCGAGGACCAACTCTTGCTGTCTTCCCTCCTAGGCAGTTCAAAAAGGCGGTCACGGATGCGATCATGTCTCGCCGAGCGATCCGCAACATGAACACGCTGTGAGTATTCTGAGGAACGCCCGGCCTGTTTCCTAGCTGAAGGTCCCTTATGCAGGCAACACGTTTTTTTTTACATTTGAGTTTAATCTCTTTCCTAGTTGAATAGAATAGAATAGAATGCAGAATAGGAATAGAATAGAATAAGAAAGAATAGAATAGAATAGAATAGAATAGAATAGAATAGAATAGAATAGAATAGAATAGA